CCGGTGGGTGTCAGACCCCGGTGGCTCTGTGGGTCTGTCTGAGGAGGAGTTATCTGCTTTAGTATGGGGATCATTCAGCTCATCAGTCCAGTATGCATTCATTCATTTGTACTGTAAACAGTTCTCCTCCTAGACCTCCTACTTTAACACCTTAATCTAGCTTAACCCATTTTAAAGAACCGGTCCACCCTGAACATCACATCCTTTTCGGGACCATATTGTTTTTTTGAGGTGTCATTGTTTTCCACTTCCGAAGAATAATGGCCAGATTTAGAGATGTGATTTATGTCAGACATCCGTGCTGGATCGTCTCGTGTCATCATCCACTCTCAGTAAACAGCCCATCTGATTAGAGGATGGATTTTCACTAGACAACTCCACTCCAGAAGAATATTTTCTGCTCAGCAGAGTTTGTAATGGCTGTTGTGGTGAGGTCCACAGGAATGTGCTAACACAATGCTAACAGCTCATGATACCAGCTTAGAGAAACTCACTGTGCTGTACCCTGCGACCATATTTTCCATATCCCACAGAACCATAACGACTCGGCTGTCACCCAGAAGTCCTCACTGTTATATAATTTGGCTTCATTGTGTTTTTAAAATGACTTCAAACGTAAGTTTATTACAGCCTGCACAGAGTTCACAGAGGACTGTGAAACAGTTACTGCCTTATTCATCTCAGTCTGAGCTGCTACTGTGACTGAGAATTATTGTTAAAGATATATTTTGAACATGAATGTTGGATTGTTTTCATCTGAAGAATGACAGGGGAAACCATTACTGCCAGGAAAACAAATGATTAGTTAAGATTGGTCACGTTAAACAATACTTAGGTCAGTTGAAATTAGGGATGAGTGTGTACGCAGATGTAATGATTATCCAGTACAGATGGTGTACTTTTTACGACAATATCCACACTTGTAAATGAAAAAAAAACTCCCCTGTAAATAGTTCTGTTACTCTTTTCTCTGAAGCGCATTTCTGAGGCTGTTCTGTAAATAGTTTTATAACTAATATAGCAACTTCTGATCAATGTCAGGCTTACATTAACAACTTCTGGTTAGTCCCCCTTACCTGGTTTAAGCCCCGCCCATTCCCAATACAGATACCAATACAGATAATTCAGTTGCTTGAAATATACAGATACAGATAATGGTGTACTCGCTCATCCCTATTTTAAATGATAAGATACCAAGTCAGTGTTTTTAAAGTCAACATTATAAGACATTGTTTGACTTCAGTCTGACTGACAGATTGATGGTTAATCAAAGGTTTTACTATTATGATTTTGACATGTTGGACTATCATGAGTTTCAACTGGAAACGTAGTCTTAGTATTAATCTTCTTATTTACATGTATTTTGACTTAATGTCATAATTTAGAATTTTCAGGATATTTTTTTTGTTTGTCTAAATTTAGTGACTGTTAGAATTTTACCCAAGTCAAACTTATTGCATAAAAAAATTGTAAAAGGTAAAAATTTGGACTCACTATCTCAAAACTTGCCAAGTCAAAATAATGACTGTACAAGTTTGACATATTAGCTCTGTATGTTTGAATTAAAAAGTGAATATTTGGAAATGACGATGACAGTGATTATTAGTAGTTTTGTGATTCCTGGCAGTACTGGTCTTCCATAGAGCGGTGAACCTGCTGCTGTTCTCTGGCTATAGTCTGGTCTGGACTGTCTCCGGTGCTGTCTGTCTGCTGTAAACACGCTGTTACTGTAATGTGAGAGGTGCACTGTGGGCCTGCCTCCTAATGCAATAGATACTGTCGACATGATGAGATGCAATAGTGTGTTTCTGTATATTTTAGTGCTGATGATTTACTTTGATTTGTATCACGTGTTTATGTTACTGCCTGGATTTTAAAGGACCTGTGTGCTAGGAAAAGTCTGATCTGCTGAAGTGATCACACAGTATTGATGAACAGAATCCAGCCCTCTTTCACTGAACGTGATTTGTTTTCAGCCTCAGACGTTACTGAGGAAATGTGCTGAACCTGTCTCGGTCTGTTTGGGCACACTGGTTTCAGTGTCCTGCTGTCAGTGAGGTGTGCTCAAACAGGCACATGATCATTTGACCTTTTTCAGCCCTGTTGCACATTGGGATTTATCTTGTTATTTAGCAGACTGTGTAGACTGGAACACAAAGGTTAAACAGTGGGCCATGTTTCAGCGTGGACGCCCCCAAAGCAAGGAAAGTCATTTCAGTTTCTCACAGTTTGAACCTGTGGAGCATGTGTATTGACCCTGTCCGCTTACAGCCAGCTTAAACTACAATCAGACATACTGTAAAATGAACCGAATGAATGTTTTTTATTTTTACCACCAATAGTTGATGCATGTGTTGAAGTTGCATTTTCTGCTGTTTTATTTGAAATGTTGCCTTTGTTGAATGTTGGAAAGCTGCAAGCTGCTTTGAGCCCTGGCTGGTGTTTGTAATAAATGTTCTGATCTGATAAGTGTTCAATTCAATTCAGTTTAATTTG